GTTAAAGATGTTGCTATTAAAACTGAAGGAGATATTCAAAAATTAAATATACCATATTATTATCAACCTAGAAATCCAGAATTAAAACGATTAACAAGTTCAGAAGAGACTTTTGGAACTCCAAAATATTCTAGTCAAAAATCAACAAGTAATTCTCCATTACCTAAAAATATTATAAACTTAGGTCCTATTACGTCAAAATATTTATCAACTGTAAAAGATACTAATTTTTTTGGAATATATCATAATGAGAAAGATGATATTTATATGATTAGAAAAGAGCTGGAAAAAATAATTTGAAAAACGAAAAACTTGGTACTGTTCATTTATTTAAATCAATTATGGAAAATCTTATTGATACTCCTGAAGGTATTGAATGTTTACTAAAATATGTAACTTTTTTACCAAAGGAAGTGAAAATATCAAAAGAAAAAATCATTAAACGTATACAGTATATATCAATTGAAGAACGTATTGGAAATAATATTTACCATGATGAAAAACTTGATATTCTTAATATTTGTATTAGAGAAATGGAAAAATTAATTGATATACCTATTAACGGTGCAGATTATTTATCACCATATGTTTCATGTTTACCAAAGAAAATTATTACAGGTTCAGGAATTGTTAATTTTCTTTTGAATTGTTCAAATTTACCTGAAATGCATTGGCCTGGTTATAATTATTTAGGACCGGGAACAAAGTTAGAAAAAAATAAAAAACCTAAAAACAAATTAGATGAAGCTGCGAGAGAACATGATTATTTTTATAAAGATAATAAAGATACTAAAACAAGTCATATTGCTGATAAAATTTTAGAACAAAAAGCAATGGAAAGATTTTATGATCCTCATGGTTCTATAGGTGAAAAAACTGCAGCCATTTTTACAGCAAATGTAATGAATGTTAAAAGACGATTTTGAATGAATTTAATTTAATTTAATTTAATTTTTTGTATTATAAAATTAATCTAAATTTAAATAAAAACAATTTAATAAAATATTGAAAGCTTTTAAAAATAATAAATATGTATCAATTCTAATTAAAAATAATCAAATTGATAGTGGAAAACATAAATTTATTCTTGAGCCATGTAGTATCATGCATAAAAATATTGTTAACTAGGTTAAGTAAACATTCAATGTAATACGATAACATTTAGTATAATTTTAAACATAGTCAGTAAGTATGTAGTTAGTAAGTTTACATACTGTTTTTTTTTTTTTTATCAAACCTTGGCATTGACAATTGTAATAGATTAAAATACATGTGACGAAATAATAGGTCAAGCGATTCAAACAAAAATCATCGTTCATCGTCCATCAGAGATACACCGATAGGTACACAAAAATGTTCGACCAATCTTCCTTGGTCCGGTAATTTTAAGTCTCTTTTGGTCCCCTCCTATCTTCGTCGTCGTCGTATCTGGTTGCCTACCCGGTCATTTTAAGGCAGTGCGCATTAAGTTGCCTATCCAGTTAAATCCAAGGCAGTGCACATTAAGTTGTTCATGTCGAGATAACATCATCACAACCTAGGTTCCATAATCATTTATTCTCATCGTAACAAGCCCAAGTGGCAACACCCATATATAATTTAAATTTCATTCTCAACTGCAATAATTACTTAAAAATATGAGGACATATTTTGTGTTACATAGGGGTGTGTAGTATCATGCATAAAAATATTGTTAACTAGGTTAAGTAAACATTCAATGTAATACAATAACATTTAGTATAATTTTAAACATAGTCAGTAAGTATAATGCAACTAGGTTAAACTTAATATCGATACTACAAATAGTGCTTCGATTGTAAGTTATAATATTAATATATAAGTAATATGGGAAGATAGATAGGGGGTCAGTCAGCGGTGATCGTGTGTTTCGATCGCCACTGGACGTAAGAGTTTTAATAAAAGTGCTTAATAATAATTGTTCTTTTTTTTGTGTGTGTCTGTCAAACGGCGTATACGACAGCCAGAACAAATAAGAAAATTAAAAAACGCTAAAAAAAAATTATACCGGATCAAGTTTATAACTTAAACATGTTCAAATTAAAAAAGGTGTATTTTTACCAATAATGCTGTGGTTGAAGGTGTAAGTGCTTTGGCTGCAGGTGCAAGTGCACTTTATACTGCAGTAACTGATGCTAAACACAAAAAAAAAAAATGGAACAAGAAACAATTCGACATAATAAAGAGATGGAAAAAATAAGATCACAGGTTCTGGCTTGAAAAAAAAAAAAATATTGAAAAAATGAATAAATTTGAAGGTATTTATACACGGTTTTCGATTAAAAAAAATAAAGTAAAAATTGATCCATTGAGTAATATAGATATAAATTATTTTGGAAATAAAATAAAAAATTATAGAGGGTGTTTTATGTTAAATGAATTAATTACAACACCATGGGAAAATGAATGTGGAGTATTTAATTTAAATGATTCTACTCAAAATGGTCCTCATTGGGTTGCATGGAAAAAAATAAACAATACATTTAAAATATATTTTGACCCATTTGGTCATATAGTTGGTGAGCCACCAAAAGAACTTTTAAAATATTTGGGTAAAGATAATCTTTTTTGTACTGTTTCCCAATTTCAATACTATAATGATCCACCTATATGTGGTCATTTATGTTTAGAATTTATTGAAAATTATAAAAAATGTATTTAAATATTTTATTTTTTTAATGGAAATATTTCTATTAAAAATAACAACTCGTTTAATATGTTTTAAATTATATTTATTTCTAAATAACATAACAATATATATTTAACAACGAGTCAACGATTCGTTGTTTTTTTACGTTAACGTTGTTTTTAACATCTTCGATTATTTTTATTTTATTAGCAATTTTTATTTCACAATTAATATTTACACATTTATATTCTTCATCTGTATCATCGTTTTGAGGAGTTAGACCATATGTATATTTTATAAAATGACAACTCGAAATTATATCAATTGATAACCATAATTTATCTTTATTATCTATGTAATTATAGAAAAAAAAAACCAAGTGTGTCCTTAAAATCATTAAATTTTTTAATAAATTGGGATATTGTAATTTCAGACTTTATCATACCAAAACATTCCCATTGATCCCAAGTTGGAATATAATCACCACGAACTTGAGAATACAAAATAGGAAATTTCCAGTTTTTTCGAAAATCAATAAATTCAGATATTGCACCTTGATTCCAATCATGACTGCAATAATACATTGCTCGTATCGGTATTATTTCTTCCATTTCTTCCGATGTAAAAGTATTTTCTTGATTATTGTACTTTATTTGTAATATTTTATTAAATTTATTGAATATTACACATGATTTGCGAAACGATTCCGCTTTATTTTGCTCATGTTTGTAAATTTTATGCTTGATTTCATATGGACCAAATTCGTTTTTTACATTATTAGCATCTATCGTTTTTTTTATAGTTTTTGGCAAAGATAATTCATTAATTTGATTTTTATTTTCCATTACTATTATTTATTATAAAAAAATAAAATTTTTTAAACATCGAAAATTTAAATCGAATATAATACTTACGAAGTATTATATATAATATTATAGTACCTATACAGTGTGGTATAATAATAATAATAATAATATATATATATTTATCAACGTTGGACTGATTATTTTTTAACATCCGGTATTGAATATCTTATCATAATATATATGTATAGTTTATATTATGATGTTTTTTTTCATCGAATTATTAAAATAGTGTTTAAATAATCATTATACATGCCCAAGTGTTGTAGCTCAGTGGTTAACGTGTTTGATTTAAATGTGTTCTTGGTCGGATTGAAACTAGTGGGAGAATGTGTGGCGCCCATATTCACCTACTAATTTCATCAGACTTTGAAGACGTTTACGGTAGATTATATAGGTGGGTGCACACACCTATGCAATCTACTGAAAAACTGTCGTTGACCTGCTGAATAAAGCACTTGGGTAACTTCACTGCCCACGATAGCTTTGCAGATATCTGGAAAAGAGTTCCGGCCTCCTTTTTTCCTAACGCACTGAAAAAAAAACCCCTGGTAACATTGACAATATCATCTTATTAAACTTGAACAATGCTTAAATTTGTCATATAGACAATATTTTGTTAAAATGACAATATGTTTGATGAATTTATAATTATTTAATAAATTTAAATATGCGTATATTTTTGTAAGTTTATTTTTAAAAATGCTTTGTTATTTATGTCTATTTAATGCTGATAGTTGGAAATCTTTAGTTTATCATTTTAAAATTGTTCATTTACTTAAAACAGACAGTAATTATACATGTTGTGAAGGGACTTGTACACAATCTTTTCAATGCTTAGCTTCATTTAAACGACATATTCTACATAAACATTTCCCTGAAAACATCCCATCAAATAATCAACCACAAGACCAATCATGTTTCAATTCTTCATTACTAACACACAATATTGAAAACTTAATTGATGATAATGTTTTAACTGATAATTTAACTAATTATCCATTTGATTTTGATCTAGCTAGTGAATCTCTGTATAAATCTGCAATAGAATTTGTTGTAAATTTGCATAATAATAATAATTTTACTAGAGTAGACATTACCAATATTCAAACTAGTATAATAAATAAAATAATTATACCAATTGTAGCCATGCTGAAGAATGTAGTAGATGATGAAATTAAAGAACCAATTAAGGTTGCTAAATTTCATAGAATTGCTTCTGTTATAGAAAATCCTTTTTTTATACTGTAACACTGAGTATCGCTTAGTAAATTGGCTTATAAAGAATGAACTGTTATTTAAAATAAATCAATTTACCATTAATAATGAAATTTGTCCTGTACAATACAATGGTGAATCAGTGTATAATGAAAAAATCACCAAATGTGTACTCTTACCTTTGCAGTTTCAGTTAAAAAAATTCTTTGAAAATGGAGATAATTTTAAAAAACAGTATACTCGGTTAAATTACTATAAAAACAATCAATGTACTTCTATTGAACATTTTGTTCAAGGAAGCCTTTGGCAACAAAAAGTTTCTATATTTTCTAATGAAAAGATAATATTTCCATTTTTTTTATACATGGATGAATTTGAAATAAATAATCCTTTAGGCTCACATGCTACATTTCAGTCTATTTCCGCTCTATATTATAGTTTCCCACTATCAGAAAACAATTCAAAATGATCAACTATATTTTTAGCTACTCTAGTTAAACACATTGATATTAAATCATTTGGTAATGATAAATGTTTACAAAGTCTAGTAAACGAAATAAATATACTTGAAAATGAAGGGATAGATATTAAAGCTCAAGATGGTGATTTTCATGTTCATTTTGTCCTAGGCATAGTTCTTGGAGATAATTTGGGTCTAAATAGCTTATTAGAATTTAGTAAATCTTTCTCAGCCAATTTTTTTTTGTCGCTTTTGTAAAGCTTCTAAAGCCTCAACTATAACAATGCTTGAAGAAGACTCGAGTCTTTTGCGCAATGCACACAATTATTCTGATGATGTTGCTAGTATGAATTTTGCAGAGACAGGGGTTTATCAAGAATCATTGTTAAATCAAGTAACTGGGTTCCACGTCACACAAAATTTTTGTATAGATATAATGCACGATTTGTTTGAGGGCGTTTGTCACTATGATTTGTGTAACATAATTAAATATTATATTGTTACTGCTAAATTGTTTTCACTTGAAACTTTAAACAATCGCAAAATGAATTTTAATTATGGACCCATTGAGATAGGTAACATTTCACCCCCCATAAAAATGATTCATTTAGAAAAAAAACATTTAAAAATGTCCGCTAGGGAAGTTATGACATTTGTTCATTTTTTTCCTCTCATGGTAGGAAATCTTATCCCTGAAAATGATGAAGTTTGGAACCTTTTTCTTTTATTAATTCAAATTATAGACATTCTTTTATCTTATACCTTTACTGATAGTGCAATTTCCCATCTTAAACAATTAATTTCTCATCATAATTCTATGTACATAACACTTTTCAATGACACCTTAAAACCGAAACATCACTTTATGATCCACTATCCAACAATAATAACAAATTCAGGCCCTCCTAGACATTATTGGTGTTTTCGTTATGAGGGTAAACATAAAGAATTAAAGATGTATGCAAGGTCAACAACTTCTAGGAAAAACATTACCTTAACCTTAGCAAAAAAAATGCAATTCAAATTTGCTCATAGCTTAATGGTATTACCTGATAAAAAAATTATTGTAAATGATAAACATAAAATTCAAAGTAATTATACAGAAAATATAAATAACAAACTTAATTTGACTGTGTTGCAATATGCCTGTTATACTGAATTAATGTTAAATGGAATTGTATACAAAAAAGATTATTTTTTAACAAAAAACTGTGATAAAATATGCTTATTTAAAATATGTGAAATTGTATTAATTAATAAACCAGATAGTAATGTTTATGTTATGGCTAATGAAATAAAGTTAAATCGTTTCAATTCTCATTTTGAATCTTTTAGTGTAGATTATAACGAAGAAGTTGTTAATCGTAATTGTATTTCTAATGTAGATGAATTTAGTGGACCTCCTATAAATATAAGTAAAATTTCATCTGGTCAAAAAATGATCCAAAAGAGTTTTATTAATTGTTAATAACTAATTATGCATTTGTATTTAGGTTTATTTATCATCATGTATAACTTCTAAAATGTATGCAACATTAATTTTATCTTTTTTTTAGTTAAACTATATAGATTTTGTAGTTTTTGTTTCAATTATAATTATAAACCAAGATGGCTAATAGTAATGACAATCTTAATGCACACTATGTCAATTTTTATGAAGATTCCTCTTGTAATGTATGTAATATTTTAATTTTTGTAATAAAATTCTTATTTATATTATTTTATTGTTTATACTTTTATCTGGAATGAAAATATTTTTAAAAACAGTTATTCAACAAAAATAATTTGAAAATGTATAACATTGTAAAATGTTATCCATATCTAGTTCTTATAGATTTAAAACCAGTAACAATTGATTACTTACCTACCTATTTATTTCATTGATTACCTATGTAGTTAACTGAAATTGGTCAGATACCTGATTTATCGAATAACATGAATCCTGCTGAAAATGATATATTGGATTACAATTACCCATATGATGAATTACCTCAACTTAAAGAACTACTTGAAAAATGGGGTTTACAGTGTGTTTATCAAACCTGTGTGGGTAAGAATTCAATTTAATTCTAAATGTATTATATTATTTAAAATAATATATTATTAATAAATCTAAAAATGTTAAACTAATATATTTTTAATGTAATGTTTATGTAGATCAATTGATAGATATTAAAATGCTATCTATTATGAAAACATATCATGTCGAGAAACTATTATCGAAATTCCCTTGGGGAATAATTTTTAAATTTGAATTCGAACATACAAAATGGCAAACAAATAATAGTATTGTAACTGTAAGTAATGACCATAATAGTAGTACAAATTTGGGTGAAATTGTGTTGTGCTCTTCAAGCACACCAATTGTAGAATATTCTCACAAATCCCCAAATATAAAATATCAATTGAAAGTAGATGAAGTCTTGAACTCTACTACACAAGGTGCTCTAATATTAAGTTATTATGAGAAGAATAATAAACTGAATGATGGCATTCGATCAACGCTAGTCGACATCCTCATTGGAAGTGTACTATCTCAAAAATTACCAATGTCTGTCATCTTGGCAGAATCAATTGCCGATCAAATTGTAGTGATGTTTAAATCAGAAGTAAAGGTAATTATTGAAATTGATAAACTATGATAACTGTTAAATAATTTTTTAATTGTATATGTACCTATCTAGAATGTATATTTTATGAAAATTGGAAATAATAAGAACCCAAAAGGAAAGCTATATGCAAAATATTACAATTGTTTGAGAAATTTAAAAAATAATGGATTAGTCCCCACGTCAGCAGTGAAGCATAAAACATATAATGACAAACACCAGAAAACCAATTGGACTGAAAGAGAATTTGGTAAATTTTATTGAATATATCTAATTGTAGATGCTTATTGATCTGTATATATACTTTTTTTGTGTATTAAATATTAAATATTTTTAGTTTCTGAAATTGAAATTGATGGTATACTTGATATTCTTAAACATGGTAATAGTAAATTCCCAGAATTAGAATCAATGTGGAATGCAACCATAAATTATCATCTGAATAATATAAAATGTGCTACATCAACTGCAGATATTTTAAAAACCTGGAAACATTATTTACTCCCATATGGGCATAAACTAGTAAATAATTAACATGTTTAATGAATAAAATACATAATTTAAAATTTATCAAATTATGTTTCAGATTGATATTGATTATAACGCTTTATTTCCAATTACTAATAATATTTACCATGATTTCAATGATAAAGCAGAAAAAATTATCAAATTACTAGATGAAAAAGTCAAAGATACTAATTGCCGTAGAATACTAGAAAACTTAGTATCAAATAATAACGACATTGATATGAACGAAAGTAAGATATTTAAATATTTGACTAAACAATAATTGTATTTTACTTAATTGTGTAAATTATATTCATTTGTGTCTTACATATTTTTTAATAATGAGTCTTTAAAATTTTAAATTACAGATGTCAAAAATGCTGCACTATTTTATTTGTTGCATGCTATGTTTGCGCCAACGTCAAGAAAAGTGACTACAGACAGTAACGGCAAGAAAAATATGGTCAAATACTCTATCAAAGATTCTCAAGATAGCTTCATAGTATTCAAAGAATCTGTAGAAGCCCAGCAACATCATCTTGAGCAACTTCGAAACCGAGGGATTCCTAAACAACCATTCATCCTAATTGTCGGTACAATGAATGTTCAGAAAGAAATACTAGTATATTTTGACTCTGTTATGTATAAAATTCATTCAGTGCTTAGATCTATAGAAGTATGCTTTAAAATATTCCATTTATTTAATCTGGAATATCCGTCTCAATCTGCTATTGTATGGCAATTTATTCAAAAATATTTCTTTTGTGTACATTCGAGATATGATACACCTTTTCCTAAATTGGTTCAAATTTTAGCTGAACTTAATCAATAAATAGTAATTATATTTTTAAAAATTAAAATAAAGAAGTAATTTTTTATACATACTATATCCATACTGTGTTTTTATTTTAATTATTATTTGCATAAAAGATTGTAATATTTTTTGTTTTACTAAAACGCTTTTCATGAATTGACAATTTTTTAATACAAGGTTTTGCTATAAATTAGTAACATTCCAATTATTATTTTAACAATGGCCAATAAATAAATTAGTTCAGTTATTTTAATGATTAAGGCTGTAACTTGGGGGGGGGGGGTGCGCAAGGGGTCTGGACCCCACTCGAAATTTCTTCAATGTCTTATTTTGAACCAAATATCCAAACCTATACAACAAATATAATTACAATATACATGTTTTGGACCCCCCCCCCCCCCAAAAAAAAAAAAAAAAATTTCTGGATACGGCCTTGCCACCTTGGTAATGTTGATAAGATAATTGTCAATTTAGTGCTGATAAATTATATTTAATTAATAATTTCAAGTATCAATTTAACAATATATTTGTCAATAATACAATGCTGATATATTTCATTTAACAATGGAAAATGGAAAAATTAGTAATATTTATTATTACGCTGATAAGATAATTGTCGATGTAATGATGAAAAATAAATCTAATTAACAGTTTCAATAATCAGTTTAATAATATATTTGTCAATAATACAATGCTATATTATTAGTATTATTGTCTCATTAACAATTATATACTTGTTGGGTTGACAATAATCTTATTAGCTGTATATCAACAAGATTATTGTCAACTCAACATAGTTTTTTGTCAATATGATCATGTTTTTTTTTTCAGTGCGGGTATCTGCAAAGCTGGAAATGATTTTGTAAATTTTTTGCATTTTTTTTCCGTTTTTTCCATCAAAATTATTAAAAATAATACGGTCGTATAAGTCCTATATTTCATTTAATATTTGATATTATCAAGTCGGATCAACACAGATATGTTTTATATGCTTATCTACACTACATATTAAAAGTTTACCCCCGCTTCATATTTTTCATTTAAGTATAAATCCGTTGCTATTTATGTTAGAATCTTCATTTTTACATTAAACATTTTTGATTTTAATTCTTTATAAGTCCCCCTCATAGTATCATAGTGTAAAATCGTTTTCGAAGATTTTTGGATTTTAATATTGAACATTTTTTAATAGAACAATTCTATTAAAAAATTAAATTAATAAATGGTCTAATAAAGTCGACTCCATAATAAGGGTACATATTTTAATATTTCCTAAATCTTGATGAACAATAATATCATGGAGATATTTTTCTGAAAATTTACCTGTTGTAATTATTAAATCATTAGCTATTTTACAAATTTCAAGCCATGTTGGTGATTCTAGAATTTTAGAAGCATAAGGCTTTCCATTTCCATCTCCACAAATATTACGACAATGATCGACAATTAAAATATTTCCTTTAATTGGAATTTTATTTAGATTATATTTCATTATTTTAATATTATTATTTTTATAGTATTCATATTTACGAAATTTCACAAAGATTTCATTATTTAATATTGATTTTTATAGGTATTTCTTTTTGCATTTCATTTTTTTTGTAATTTATTAAAACCGTTTATAGTTGTTTCCATTATTTTATAATTAATTATATTTTTAATTTTTAAATTAATTTTTTCAATTTCTTTTTAATACATTTTGCAATTAAATATGTTATTTTTATTTTTAATAGAACAATTCTATTAAAAATTAAATTAATAATATAGTTATATTCTAAGCATTTTGTGATCGGAATCTATACCTCCCATACCAAGACAACATATTTTAATGTTTCCTAAATCTTGAACAACACAAATATCATGGAGATATTTGAAAAAATAAGTACCGGTTGTATTTATTAAATCATTAGCTATTTTACAAATTTCAAGCCATGTTGGCGATTCTAGTATTTTAGAAGCATAAGGCTTTCCATTTCCAGAAATATTATGTCCATGATCGATAATTAAAATATTTCCTTTAATCGGAATTGTATTTAGATTATATTTCATGATTTTAATATTTTTTTTATTATTAGTATTATAGTATTCATATTTACAGAACTTAACAATGATTTCATTATTTAATAATGATTTTTCTATTTCGTTTTGCATTTCATTTTCTTGTAATTTATTAAAATCTTTGATAGTTGTTTCCATTATTTTTATTATTTATTATAATTTTAATTTTTAAATTAATTTTTTCAATTTCTTTTTAATACATTTTGCAATTAAATATAATATTTCGATTTTTATTTTTGATAGAACAATTCTATTAAAAAATATTTAAATTATTATTGCATTTCGATTTTAATTTTTAATAATTATGTTTTGCGAAAAATATTTTTATTATTTTTATATTTAATAAGTTTTGCGAAAAATGTTTTTATTATTATTACATTTCGATTTTCTGATCTTTTTGCATATTGTTTTCTTTGTGATCTTTTATTGATATAATATTATGAGCTGCGCCTTAAAGGTGCTGAGCCAGGATTGGCATATATATACTACTCATAGGTAGTCGACAATTTTTATAAACAGGATTTAACAAGGCTTGTCAAAAAAAGTTGATCCTAGTTAAAATTATGACAAATAATATAGGAAAATATACTTTAAAAATATACTACTTCCTATCTATTACAGGAAATTCCCAAAAATAATTTTTTTAAAAGTTATTAAGTTTCAAATTAGTTTATTCCAAAAAAATATTTATACTTTAAAGTTTAAACTGTTTAAAGTTTAAACAGTTGTAAAAAATAAACTACTTGACTTAAATAAAAGTTTTTACTATCAAAATTTGTCTAAAAATTAGATCTAGTTACAAATTGGTTATTTTTCAAAAAAAAATTAATTAATACATTTTTTTTTTTCTGTAATGATAATATATAATAATATTATGTATTATTATATATGTATGTTTGAGAAGATATTTGTCAACGGGGATTCATTTTTCTGCACTACATTTTGATTTTCGTTTTGGCAAGAGTACTATTAACCAAATTGTTCGTGAAACTTGTCAAATTTTATGGTCAGTGTTACAACCCACGGAAATGCCGGAACCAAACCGAGGAAAATGGATTGAAATTTCTGAACTTTTTTATAAAAAAACCAATTTTCCAAATTGTCTCGGATCCATTGACGGAAAACACATAAGATGCAGAAACCCAAACAATTCTGGGTCTCTTTTTTATAATTATAAAAAGTATTTTTCCATTGTACTTATGGCAGTGGTGAGACTATATTATTCTTTTAGTATGTTTTCATTTTTAACTTCATGATATAGTTACTGTTTTTTTTATATTTTCAAAATAAATAAAACTGAGATAATATCAGTGATTGATTTTTGAATTAACTTTTTTTTTGTTTAGCGAAATGTGTGAAAAATATAAATATGAATAAGGTATTTTATTATTTTTCAAGTAAAAGAGTATGTAATCTTTTTTTTTTTTTTTTTTTTTTTTTTTTTTTTTTTTTTTTTTTAATTCATAGTTTTTTATTTTTCTCAAGCTTCTTCAGAGAATGGTGATAATGAATTAGTATTTGCAATATAGTCGTGGTCTTGTAAATGTAATTGTTCTGCATCAAATTCAACATCAATATTTCGAATAAGACATGTTTCATTTATAGAATCGGTTGGTTCTTTAATTACAACACTGGAGGTATTGAGTACCTATACCTATTTGATCTTGGGGTATGCAATTTCCTAATCCGCCATCACGAATTGTGGCATGTATTATTAATTTGCGATAAGCCGAATGGAATTGACGTGCTGTGGGATTGTTATTGTATCCTCCGTGAGATCTAATTGCTCCAAAAAAGATTTCCAGGTGATCCTGACTACATTTATAAATTGGTAAAAACATAAGTTTTTTGGGTAGTATTAATAATGAATATAATTTCAATAAGGATTCAAAACAAATTAGAAAACCAGTTTTTCTATTTGAATTTATAACTAATTGTCCATCCACACATTTTATAGACTTCACATAAGATGAAAATGTTTCTGTGAATTCGGCTATCTGTTGATAATTGCTGGCGCATAAAGCTTTTTTGAAACCATAACAATTAAGTGATCTTGAATTCAAAATATCAAATGTATCATTAAACATATTTAAGAACTTAATTGTTGCTCCTGCATTTTGAAAATCTTCTAAATTTAAGTTATTTTTACAGAATTCGAGTGCAGTGGCTACTGATCGGCTAAGTAATTGGGTGGCGAGTTTTACTTTCATTTTTTGTCTGGAAAAGAATACATGTTGTTTTTTTAGTTTGTTTGATAAATGGCAATTTTCATTTTCTTGCAACACCGAGAGTTTTTCAATAAATGCATAATCTATGATTTCATTATTATCATCTAAAAATCTCCTTTTCTCTCCAAAGCAATTTCTATCTAATTTAATCATATGTGAGGGATCAGGTAAAATAACTATAGGTTGTTGATTATGAATAGTGAAATTAGTATTTAAATTATTAGGATCATATGAGCAGCTAAGATTTTTTGTCATACCAATATTAGAAGAACAACCATCAAAAGTAACACTTACAACAACAACACCAGTTTTAGTAACTAATCTAAGCATTGAGAAAATAAATTAGATTTTTGTGTACTATTAAGATGTTTACATAAGAAATATCCAACCGGCAATTTCCATCGTTCATTAATAGCTACAAGCATAAAAACAAGACATTCGTTTGCTATATCTAATCGATCGCTATCTAAATCAGCACCAAAATTCACATATCCGTGATAATTACAACAATTCCATTCAACATGTTTCCGAATGGCCATTTCATCTAAGACTAAAGCACAATATATGGTTCGGTCAGTATTTTTGCATTTTAATGTTAACATATCTAAAGATTCTTTATTAAAGCCAGGACCAGCATCTGTTTTTGTATACCATTTACTCAAAGTTCTTGGATGAGGTAAAATGGTATTAAATTCTTTGCGGACAAAATCATAAGCTTTACCTGAATGAAAATGAAGCGAAAGAGCAAAGCGTCTTAACTCTGTTGAATACTTGCGTGGAAGCTTTTTACCAGAATTTTTTTTAGCCAAGCTATTAATTAAAAATTTGTTTTTACCAAAACAGTCAGTCAAAAGGTCAGAATTATCTTGATGTAAAAGGTTATTATCTTTTAGGGTTGCTATCACACTCTTTAGCGAGGATATCGTTGTTCGTTGGCGGATAATTTTTTGATTTAAATATTTTATTCTTTTATTTTTGAAGCTGAGTTGTTGAGAATAAATATTGATTTTTCGTTTCAATTTCAATCGACCTGGTGAATCATTAATATCAGACTGACATATATTATTATGAACAGGCTGCTTCTTCATGTTTGGTATCTATAAAACACAAAAACAGCTATTAAAAAAAAATTTAATGATGTTTTCTAATTTATATTGGTAAATATACTATTTTATCTGGTTGTTCTACTACAAATTTACTATCAATACAATGGGCATCTTCAGTAGCAGTATTACAGTCCACATCTTCAAAATTAATTTGTTCAATTCCTTCCATACCTGATGCTACATCTGTTACCTACATTAAAAAAAATAATAATAATAAAATATAAAAAGAAACAACTCATAAGAAATTCAGAACATAACTTTTATATATCGTTTGGTGGAAGAATCAACAGATTCATCGCACTGATCTAATGACACCAAAATTTCAGGATACAATGTCTTAGCCTAAAATATATTATATTACCAATTAATTAATTGCATAATATAATCACAGAGTAATATTGTTTGTTTTTATCATAAAGTACTTACGCTTTTTACTCTTTGTATAAATATAGATGGAATAGGTAGCTTTTTTTTTTAAATGAACGCTCCGTAAAAAATGTAAAAAAAATGTAAAGAATGAGCCGGTGATTAAGTTGCACTCTACTTTTATACAGTTTATTTTCATTATGTTGACAATATTTTCAGATTCATGAGTAGCACCAGTAGTGTATAGTACATTTCTAAAACCTAGCAATTTTGCTATGCTATTCTCGACTCCTAAATCAACGCCATGGCTGCACGATATCATACACTTTAATGTTCTGCTGTTTGCTTTTAATTCAAACATACTGACATACTCAGGCATCATATTTTGTATAATAGACTCTAACTGATTCAACTCATATGTTCCCGTAGGTATAATTACGTACTCATTTTCATTGATCAAATTACGGAAGGCAATAGTATTGCAGCCAGGCTCGATGTTTGGTATAGAATTATTCGTCTGTAAGCTCAAAAGACATATCTATGCAGTATTTTCTACTTCCAATGGTGGAAAGATCTCGCATGACAACTCACTAGAGTTTTCGTTTAACGTTAATGTGAACATGATAAAAATTTTAAACACAAGTGCCCACAGTTTGTAGTATTATATTTCTGCTCTCTGCTGTAATTGAAATGTATGTCACATCCGTGAAAATATTGTTGTACTTCTAATGGTGGAGGTAAATTCCCAAAACTGTCGTAATATTCGACTTTTTTTCCGATTTTTTTATACGCTACCCAATGCGTTCCAGTACCGTTTTCTGTATCCAAGTTAATAATCGCTGATTCTTGTCGCTTAGGACGTGTAGATAACCTATCTCTGGTAAACACTCCGATGAAATGAGGTATTTTCATCATGCGAGCATATTTTATAAGTTCGTAATCGTACAACGCTCTACTGGGTAACGTGGCTATTAGTTTTTTGACTTTCTATATTTTCTCGCTTTTACACCCCCACCACTTTTATGCGGTGTTTCTATTTTATATGAGTTGCCTTTATACGGTGTGAGATATAACCCTTTGCCCAAATGGGATGGAGTGTTTCTATTAAATTCATTAGCCATTTTCACAACGTTGGCTACGCCACCAGTCAGGGCTCCTAGAGCTGACAACCCGGCGAGTGGTAGCACACCGCCTTGTTTCGGAATATTTATTGTTCGTGGAACTTTAGTCTTCTTAATTTTGAATGTTTTTCGCGCGACGGCTACACATTTTTTAGTCAATTTCATCAAGTTTTTTTCTCCGATATTTTTCTTGATAACATTTTTAGTGGCTTTAAGTGCTGCTTTAAAACCACAGCCGCCACCTACTTTACGTTTTGCTTTCATGGCAGTAGTCACACCCCAAGCCACAGCTTTTTCTTTTAAACTAGAATCTTTTGACTTGAACCTATCCCAGGCCCGCTGCTCTAATATATAATCGGCTTTGTTACGATCTGCGATAGAGTTGCTGTTCTCGTACGCAATATCGTGGTCCCTACAAGCAGAGTCCAGAGGGTTTATACCTTTATCACCACGTGCTAATCGTTTTCCTAAATTTGTACCAGGTCCACAGTATTGATAACCTAAAATATAAAGTTATTAGAAAATATAATATTATCGGGTTTATAATATAATATACCAGGCACGTGAAGCTCGATTGGTAATTTGTTTATAAGCGTGTTGATCAGGCCACTGCCTTTATTCTTGCTGCTTCTTCGAGCGAGTGACATCGTGTACTGATTACATTCTCATCGTTGCTCAGTTATTTATAATGAAGTTCATCAAACAAAAAATAAAACTATCAGTTAAAAACGTGGACCCGCCTACATCGTTTATGAAACAAAGACACGGGGCGCTCCTACCTAATACGATACGTGCGCTTATCGTGGGTCCTTCTGGCTGTGGAAAAACAAATTTAATTTTCACTTTATTAACCAATATAAACGGAATACGATTTCACAACGTATACATATATTCAAAGACATTGGATCAACCTAAATATAAAATGTTGAGTGATATATTATCAGATATTGATGGTATAAAATTATTTACATTCTATGAAAACGAACAAGTTATTGAACCTGAGAAAGCTTTACCAAACTCTGTGTTTATTTTTGACGATATTATTACTGAAAACCAAAAGATTGCAAGAACTTACTTCTCCAGAGGTCGTCATAATTTAGTTGATGTATTCTATCTGGCTCAGAGTTATTCAAAAGTACCAAAACAACTTTTGCGCGATAACGCTAATTTTATTGTATTATTCAAACAAGACGAAACTAATTTAAAGCATGTATACAATGAGCATTGCTCTGGCGACATGTCATATTCAGAGTTTAAAGACTTTTGCACTTCGTGTTGGCGCCAAGGGAGATTTGAGTTTATCGTCATAAACAAAGACTGTGAACGCGACAATGGACGATATCGTCATGGATTCGACACATTCGTCATTATATAAAGTTTTGTTATTGTGGAAATGCTTCATTCACAATCATGGCTGTCAGTGGTGATGTACTCGGAGAACTGATTAAAGCCAAAGAAAATATCAAGCGCAAGTATACAGCATTAAAACAAGGAAAAACCGACATTCATTCATTAGTATCAGAAACGTTAAGTCCGATTATCGAACCATTAGAAAAAATAAAACTTTTCGGCCCATCAACATTTCAAGCTCCACCTACACAGCAAGACATTGATATTCAAGATTCTCAATATTTTAACGACACAGACGATTCGCTAGCTTTTAACGACTGGTTTAAGTCTTACGATATAGACAAGACGTATGTACCTAAAATACAAACAAATGGAAGTGTACACTTAGGTAAAAAAGAAATTAAACTCGTTGATAATACGTTAACTATTGAAGATACATCATATCCACTAACACAAGGACTTGGTAATTTAATATTTTCAAAATCTCCAAAATTGTACACCAAAAACGATTTAGAAACATACAAGTCTATATTAATTCAAACATCGGCGCATCTAAAAGCCGATGGGAAAAAAATTAAAAAAGGCGGAAATAAATATACAGATATAATCCAAAATCTGTTTCCATCGGGCGCTGGGCTGTCAGTTAAATTACAAAAACATAATTTAGTATACTGGAACGAACCTAATGAGCTAGTCGATCGATTACGACTTCTTTTAGCTTCTAAAGCTGCTGGTAATACAGGCGTTTCGAATGAAATACTCTCGATTTTTGAAGAATTGCGTGAAGCAGGGTTAATAAAACGTATTCCAAATGTCTAAACGTGATATAGCTTATGAACTCCACAAACCAGCGAGAAAAAATTATACAAGGCGTAGAGTTAATGTTTACGACAAAAACGATCTATGGCAAGCCGAC